TTTACACCTTAAATTCAGCCCATGTATTTCACATAAGTCTGTCCTTGTTTAATGGGGCTGACTCCGTTTACACCTTAAATTCAGCCTCGAAAACAGGCTAAAAGTAAAACTTTTTTTTTAGTGTGTATTGAAATTTTGTCAAGAATTTTATTAAATTTTTCAACGAATATAATTGAATATCGTTGAAGATTTTTATTATTTCCAAAGATAATTGAAATTTTGACAAAAATTTAAAAAAGAATCTTCAACATAATTGAATTTATGCGATGAAGTTTATCACTTTTGAAAATAATTGAATCTCTGTAATCGCACAGTTGTTCTTGAAATTTCTATTTAAATTGATTAAAAATGGAAATTTTCTAAATTTCAAATTGTACCGAATTTAGTTATGATTTAAATAAAAATAATTTGATTCAAGTAAATATTTATTTTATAATAGCAGACCATGATTTTAAAATTGTAACAATTTTAGTCTAATAAATAATAATCGAAACAAATTTAGTCTAATAAATAAAAATATTATAACTAAAAAGAAAATAAATAAATAAATATAACTATTTTATAGTTTAACTATAAAAATCAAATATATATAAAAATACAACAACTAAAAATAAATTAAATAAAAAATTCAAAAATTATCAATAAAAAGTCATTTCTAAAAAGTGAAAAATATGCGAATAGGAAAAAATTATTAAAATAAAATTTGCTGACAATTTTTATATTATTCTTGAGTATAAATTAACTTTAACGTATTTATATACATGTCTCATTAAAAGATATACTAGACAATAATTTACATACGTTAATGCGTGTACATCACCTTCTAATTAGTTTGACGTGAGAGTGCGAGGGTGGAATTATCGATATTCGGAGGCAAACGAGGGTGATGATTATATTTTTTTTTTTTTTTTTGGGAGAGCATGGGAATTTTGCGACATGTGCATTACAAAATAAAAACTCATCGCGTTCGATTCTCACTATACGTTTATGTATAATTGAAAATAACTCTTATTCCAATGATACGGCTGGTTAGAGGGTTGTCTTGTTTTTAATACACACGTCAGATGTTCTCATCGATAATAACCTTTGTATAGAAGGGTAGAAATGCGTGCCCGATAATATTACAACGAACGCTAATAATGTCTCTTCATTTCATTATATATCTAAATCTCTATATATTAGAATTTATTATTCAAATTTATCCCTTTTCTCAAATTTATTATTCTTAATTTTTAGTTATTTTATTTTCTCCATTAGTTATTATTTTATTATTTATTTTATTATTTTCAATAATATATAATTATTTTTCGCTCATTTAACATTTTCTTGATTAATTATTTTTTATTATTATTTATTATTTATTATTTATTATATTATAATAATCATTAGATATTGTGATTATTATTCAAAATAATTTTTTTTACAATTAGTATTAATATTGTTAAAAATGATCTTATTTTTAAAAATATTTTTTATTATGATTAATTATTTATTTCATAATTTATAAAAATTAGTTACTTTGACTAATAATTAGATATTTTCTGTTGAGAATTATAGTCAAATTGACTATTTTATAATCAAAAAGACTATTTTATAGTCAAATAGACTATTTTATAGAAAAAAACCTATTTTATAGTCAAAAAGACTATTTTGCAGTCAAATAGACTATTTTATAGTAAAAAAAGACTATTTTGTAGTCAAATAGACTATTTTATAGACAAGAGGCCAATTTTATAGTAAAAAAGACTATTTTGTAGCCAAATAGACTATTTTATATTTAAAAAGACTAATTTATAGTGAAAAAGACTATTTTATAGTGAAAAAGACTATTTATAGTGAAAAAGACTATTTTATAGTCAAATAGAGTATTTTATAGACAAAAAGACTATTTTACAGTCAAAAAGACTATTTTGTAAACAAATGTACTATTTTGTATAGTCAAATGGACTATTTTATAGTCATTTTCTATACTATTTACTGAAGCAGAAAGTCAAACAAATTTTTACTAACAATTAACTATTTTTAACTATAATTCAAATTTAGAGACAACAAAAATTACATTTTTGTACCCTACATGTTTAAATACAATTCTCATCAAAAATTTGTTCCGCTTCTGTTTCTTTTTTTCTCGAGAAGAAATCATCGATAAATCGTCCCCCAATTTTAGTTTTGTGTATTACATATTTACCTGTCGGAGAGGTCATGCGATAGCCCCAATTTTCATCTCGTGTGAAACAAAGAGCATGTGGCATTTAAACGACAGGAGAGTATATTTTTGTGTTTATATATATAAAGAGAGAGAGAGAGAGAGTCGGTGAATTTGTAAGCGATAGAAATTCACCCCCGCAATATTAAGGCGGTCATCCATGAGAAAGTGTCGACAGATGTTTGAAATAATAGAATGTGGCGCACGAATCACCGTGAGCACACCAACAGGTTGTAATATATTAGTGCAGGAGATGCCCTCTTATATACTAATAAATGAACAAACATAATCATTTGGCGACGAATCACTGCTTTTTTTTGTTGCAGTTAATTATTTAATCATTAACAAAATAAGCATTTTTTCTTCACATAAACTTGTTGGAATTTTTTTTCCTTACTCTCTAAATCTGATTTAGTTACATTTGACTATAAAATAGTCTATTTGACTACAAAATGGCCTTTTTGACTATAAAAAAGTATTTTGACTATAAAATAGGCCTTTTGTCTATAAAATATTAGTCTATTTGACTATAAAATAGACTTTTTGACTATAAAATAATCCATTTGACTATTTTAGTCATTTTGACTATAAAATAGTCTTTTTCACTATAAATTTCCACTAACTTTTAGTCAAAAACTACTAATTTTTAGTTAAGAACAACAAACTAGTATTATAAAATTCTATACTAATCTTACTAGATGCCTTAGTAGTTTTATAGTCAAAAAGTCTATTTTATAGTCAAAAGGACTTTTTTGTAGTCAAAAAGTCTATTTCATAGTCAAAAAAATTATTTTGTAGTCAAATACACTATTTCATATAGTCTAAAGGCATATAAAATATAGTCTATCCACCAGTTAGTACTTTTTTTATTAAAAATTAGTAGTTTTTGACTAAAAATTGATAGAAACAATTACTAATTCAATTAATTTGTTAATGGGTTCTATTTCTTTATAGTCAAAAATAGGCTAATTTAATTTATTAAATGAATTGGTAAGTTTTTTGATTAATTTGTAGTGAGAAACTACTAATTTATAGTCAAAAACTACTAATTGATAACAGAAATGAGTATATAATATAATTTATTTGTTATGGTCACTATTTCAATTATTATAGTAACGTTTACCCAATGATTTATTACCTCAAAAAAATGATTTAGTAGTTTTCTACTACCAATTTTATAGTATTTAGTTTTTGACTAAAATATTTATCTAATTATTAGTAAATAAAAAACTAAAAAAATAGTCAAATTTGACTATAATTTATTTATTTATCATTACAGGAATTGAAACAAATTAAAAATAAAAAATGTTGTTTCTTTTTCAATATTGCTTCGATACATTTTATTGATTCAATCTCTAAATTTCGAAATTATATAAAAAAATTCAAAAATTTGTATTAGCAACAATTTTTAACTGTTTTCTTGTTTTTTTGTAATATTTTTTCCCTATTACATTATGATTATTTTACTAAATTTTTAAATGAAAACATTTCTCGGATAAAGAATTATTGAATTACAAATTTTCTCTAATTTCAGTTACTAAGAATTTACATTATTTTTTTAATTAAAGAAAAAAATTATATAGTTCAGAATTAAAGAAAATTTGAGTAATTTTCTTCAATTCTGAACTATAGATATAATTTTTCGAAAAAGAAAATTTTCACATTTTATTATTTTTGTCAATATGAAATAAAAGTAAAAAAAAAATATAAAATAAAACAAATATTCGATATTAAAAATTTTATTTAATAAACATTCAAATTACAGAATAAAAAAATGCGTGAATTATAAAAAAAAAGATTTTCTTCTTAATTTGCATAGGCAAGTTTCGAATATTGTGAAAAATAAGAAAGAAATAAAAATTAGAGAATAAATGAAAAGAACAAAAAATAAATAAACAATTGAAAATTAATAAAAAAATCCAAAAAGTAATTAAAAATACAATTCTTCCTCTTTGAGGAAGCAAATAGAAAATAAGGAGAAAATTATTTTTGAATTTTCACAGAATTTTTCACGAAAAAAAAAGAGAAAATATTTTTTTTATAAAAAAAAGAGTAGAAAAAGTAAAAATGTGATAAAAAATAAAATTGTGCGGTTGATAGAGGAATCTATTTACAAATAGAAAATTAATTTGCTTATAAAAAAGAAGAGTAGATATAATGTTAAAATGTGGCAAAAAATAAAATTGTGGTTAATAAAGAGGAATATATTTGCAAATAGAAAATAATAATTTGTTTATAAAGAAGAACAGTAGAAAAAGTTAAAAAATAATAAAAATATATAAAATTAGTTCTGTATAGAGGAGTTTTTTTTCCAAAAATTAAGAACAAAATTGCATGAAAATAATTTAAGAGAGCAAACTGAAAGAAAAACATTTTCTATTGTATACTCCATTGAAGACTTGTTCTATTTACATAAGGAATTTGTCATTTCTTTTTGGGAATCCCCTCTCTCTCTCTAATTGACTCTCCATTCTCTTATTGTCTAATACCAGTCGAATATTGTGATTGCCTCAGTCTAGACGAACACCACAGGTAATAGAAAGTCACTTTTCGCAAATTTTATCAACAATAACAAAATTTATCAAAATAAAAAGGTATTTTTCCTCACAATTCTTATATTTAAAGATTAGGTACGTATAACATTTATTGTTTTTCTTCTAAATCCATTTTATAAAAATAACCGAATATTTAAGAAATTGTCAAACTTTCTTGGTACACTGAATACAGTTAAAAAAAAAATAATTTTCGCAAAAAGTAAATTTTTTGCAAAAACAAAAAAAAAATTAAAACTCACTTGATGAGGGTTGCATTTTTTGTGTGCTAACCGACACATGTGTCATTGATGCCTCCTGCGCCTGCATTTTGTCCAAAATTCGTATTTTCTTCATTAAAACACCCTTTTTCACAGTCACTTTGAAAAAATAAAAAAAAACACTTTTTGAAAAAAAAAACGAAAAATTCTCGTTTAATTTGTTAAACAAAAACACGAGACATATATTTATATTAAATGTTCTTTGAAAGATCTTCTTTAAAAGAAGAATATTAGAAAAAAAAAATCCAACCGTTTCACTCTCGTCTAAACTCTTGAATGAATTCTCCAACTATCATCATCATCGCAGGATACAGGGAGAAAAATTTTTGTTCATAGGGTCGGTTTCTGATCTTGCCTTTTGAATTTGGTCCCAAACGGGGATTGGTCATAAGAGTTCCCTTTCCTCTAAGGAAGGGCGTGAACATTTTCAATGTATTTAGGGCCAACCCCTCGCCTTTTGGAGGGGTTGATTTTGCGTCGATGCACTGTTCGGGAAACAACGACAACGACAACTAAAACATTCAGTCAAAAACTCTCCCTGCTCGTATATATATATATATAGTCGTCACACGTATACAATTTAACCGCGTGACTAGCTTTCGAGCACTATTTCATTCATCTTCATAGGGAATAGTAACAAAAAAAGGGACGACAACGAAGAAGAAGAAGAAGAAGAAGAAGAAAAAGAAGGAGGAGGAAAAAAATTGTCAACCCCACCAAAGCTTTATGTATATATATATGAAGTCTAATGGTCATTGTGCGCGCGCCACTGTCACCACCGAGGCTAATTCGACAACACAACCTTTGCTAAAGGCTTTGTGCATAGATTTGCCCTGTGTAATGAATTGCCCTTATGCCTGCTTATGACCCGATACCATCTCTCGCAAGTAAACCGCAGCAAAAAAAAAAAAACTTTACTGTTGCTTTATTTAATTAGAAATGCGATTTTTCGGCTTTGACAAGTTCAAGCTGGTTTTCGTCTCGGTATCTTGAGGAGAAATCTTTTAAGTGAATGTATATACAATATAGACGTATTTTTCAAAGAAAATGCGAGGAAAATTCCTGGTAAAGAAAAATTATTTTTTTAGACAGAGGTTTTTTTTTGGAAAAATTATAAGACAGATTTTTTTTAATGATTTTTTACTCTCGATTATGCGGTCTTCTTCTTTATATATTCCTACATTATTTATTTGATTTAATTTCTATGTATTTATAAGTAATTATTTAATTTTAAAATATTTAAAAAAATTTTCTTTTCTTTTTGACCGTCATATTGGATCCGCCATTTTGAATTTTCAAAATCTGACTTCATATTCGTAATCAGCGACCACGAAAACCCCCGAGTAACAATTTTCAAACGAATCCGATCAACTTTTAAAAATTCATCCGCCATATTGGATCCACCATTTTGAATTTTGAAAATCTGACTTCAGATTCGTACTCAGCGACCACGAAAACCCCCGAGTAACAATTTTCAAACGAATCCGATCAACTTTTGAAAATTCATCCGCCATATTGGATCCACCATTTTGAATTTTGATAAACTAACATTGGATTCGTCATCAGCGACCCCGAAAACCTCCGAGTAATAGTTTTCAAACGAATCCGAACAACTTTTAAAAATTCGTCCGCCATATTGGATCCGCCATTTTGAATTTTGAAAATCTGACTTCATATTTGTAATCAGCGACCCCGAAAATCCCCGAGAAACAAGTTTTAAACGAATTCGATCAATTTTTGGAAATTCGTCCGCCATATTGTATCCGCCATTTTGAAATTTGAGAAACTGATTTCATATTTGTAATCAGCTACCCAAAAACCGCAAGTAGTCATTTTTATTAGCTTAGCTTTATTTAATTTTCGATTTTTTTATTTTGTTTGTAAATTTATGTCCATAAACATTTACTTTTCTTACTATTATTATTGTTATAATTAAAAAATTTTTAATTCTTTATTTGGAATATAAATTTTTTTCACAATTTAAAATAAATTTATGGGTGTTGGATGTTTGAAAACCAAAAATATTTTAATTTTTGTCAAATTTATAAAGGTTTTGAAGTCAAAAGTATATGCAGTTTCGATTGAAATCGCTGGGCATTAAAGGGTTAAATTTGAATTAGTAAAAATGTTTACTAGACTTATAAATTAGTGACTGACTTTTTGCTTTTTAATTAGTTAATTTTACTAGGAATAAATAGTAATTTCTACTAATTTAAAATTTGTTAGTAAAATTTATTAAATCAAAGGCAAAAATTCACAAATTTAAATTTAGTAATTATTTTTAAATAATTCAAACTTATATAGAGAGTCGTGTGGCTTGCATATCTGAGCACATTTTTTTCACATCTCTGTTATATATAATTTTTCTCTTTTTTTTAACAAAGTAGATGAGAAAGAAATACTTTCCTTTTGATTTATATGTTTCTTCACCGCATTAACCTATTTTTCTTATTCTTTGTTGTATCTTTGTCTTCTTTTTTCTGGACTTCTTCCTCATTATTAAAAAATAATGCAATTGTATTTTTTTTCCACCACTGATCTATAATTTTTCTCTTTATTTCAACAATCTTTTGTATTATTTTTACTTTTTTTATCATCTACTTTCTTTTTGGTTCATATTTCTTCACCTCTCATTTAGTTTTTTTTCTTTGTTGCATTTTTTCGATTTCTTCCCCAATTTTTATGTTTTGGTTCTCAACATAATTCAACGTCTTGAATTATTTGAATTTTCTCCTTATTTATATATATTTTTTGGTTAATAAAAAAAATGGGTTAATAGTGAAGAAAGATAAGAATCTTTCTTCACTATATTAACCCATTTTTCTCTTTTTTGTCAACAACTATATACTTAACCTGCTTATTTTTACCTTATTTACATTCTTTCTTTTCTGCTTCTCTTTTTTATCCCTCTTTTACTCCTTTCTCTTATTTTTCATCTTCTTTCTCTATTGGTCTTCTTCTTTTTTGGATTTCTTCATTTTTTTTTCTATACTTTGCTTCTCAGTTCTTATCTTTCTTCACTATTATTGATTCATATTTCTTTTCAACAATCTCTTGCATTTTCAAAATATTTTTTTTCATTTTTTTATCCAGTTGCTTCTTAGTTGTTATCTTTCTTCACTATTGACCCATTTATTTTCATCCTAATAACAACCTCTTGCATTTTTTATATTTCTTCATCAACTTTATTTTTGATTCATATTTCTTCACTATTGACTGACTTTTTTTCTCTATAACATATCTTACATTTCTTCGATTTCTTCATAATTTACTTTATTTTTGTTTCAACTTTCTTCACTATTGAAAACCATTTTTATCTTCTTCAGTAATTACAAAGAAGAGAAAAATTGGTCAGTGAAGAAAGAAGGAAATTGAAAAGGAAATAGATTATAAAAAATTGAGTAGAGAGTAATTATAGTGGTAAGAGAAGAGATGCAAGAGGTGAAGAAAAGAGAAAGAAGAGAAAAATAGATTACTGATGAAGGAAAATAAGATGATAGCTATATATATAAATAACCTAAGCTGTTTTGTTTCTTCTTATCTTCTTTCTCAAGGTTGTTCTTCTTCTTGTTTTTTTAACTTCTTCCCTAAAAAATTTACTTCTTAACTACTTCTTCACCTATTTTTCTTTACCTCTAATCTATTTTTCTCTTCTTTCTCCTTTCTTCACCTATTGCATCTCCCCCCCCCCTCTCTCTCTCCACTCATTTCTCTATACTCTATTTATTATTCACTTTCTTTCTCCTCTTTTATTTTTTCTACTCTACTCTTCTTAGTTTTATTCTTTCTTCACTATATAATATAGTGAAGAAAGAATAAAAATAACATAATTTGTGACCTCTGCTCTTAAGTATATTTTCCATGTATTATATAAATATAATATAATATAATATAATATAATATAATATAATATAATATAATATAATATAATATAATATAATATAAATTTCCATTATAATCTTAAAGTTAGAATATAATAATATTATTAAAATAAAAAAAAGTTTCTTAAATTAAGAATATTTCTGAATTTAAGAACTAATTTTTGTGCTTAAATATATACGTTTAAATATTTTATATCAATAAGGTATATTATATATACATAATACACCTTGAGATAAAGAGGTATGTGCGATTATACAGAATAATAAGAGAAATGCGTGTGTAAAGAAAAAATGGATCTGATTTTGATATACAAGAAAGAAATGCACTGAGCGTAAGGGGATCAAACATCAGATAATTCAAGATGGAGTCATAGAGTCAGAGTAGTGCACGCATCTGCCCTCACATTGCCAGGCGCCATTGTTGTGAACCATCTCTGTCGCTCGTAGTTCAATTGAAAGGTCCAAATACACACACACACAGCTTCAGCATTCATAATATGGCTTTTAGAAGATTGGGCTGAAAATCCTCATATAGCTTTACCTGAATGTCCATAATATTATAACGGGCCAATGAACTTCCAGCATTACTTCTTCCGAATGGTTCAATCTAGAGCATCAAAACTATATATATTGTGGTGTTTGTATTGCTATATTGCCAGAAGGAAGCATTTTATATACATATGGGAGTCTATTAAAATATTATATTTGTACGACCACCTTGAAGAAAGAGTGAATATTTACTTTTCTTCAAATATTTTTTTAGTTTACTTACTTCTTCTTCTTCTTCTTCTTCTTCTTCTTCTTCTTCTTCTTCTTCTTCTTCTTCTTCTTCTTCTTCTTCTTCTTCTTCTTCATCTGTTTTCACCTCTTTTCCCTTATAGTTTTTTTATCTTTTCTCTCCCTTTCCTGCTTTCTTTATCTTTTTCTTCTTCTTCCCTTTTTTCTCCTATTTCTTCTCCTCTTCTCTTTTACTCATTTCTGTATTTTACTGTATTTCTTCTTCTTCTTTTCTCCTACTTCTCGTTTACTCATTTCTGTATTTTCCTGTATATTTCTTCTTCTTTTTTTTCTCCTACTTCTCTTTTCCTCATATCTGTATTTTCCTGTATTTCTTCTTCCTCTTCTTTTTTCTCCTACTTCTTCTCCTCTTCTCTTTTACTCGATTTCTGTACTTTATTTCTTCATTTCTTCACCCTAAAAAAAATTATTTATTGAATAGAAAATAATATTCTCCTTTCCTTTTTCTTATTCTTATTCTTCCTTCTTATTACTTTTCCTCTTTTATTCTACTTCTTTCACACATTACTTCCCTTTTCCTGCTTTTCTTCTTTATCCTTTAAAAAGAATTATTTATTTAGAAGAAAATAAAAAATAATTTTTCTCTTTCAGACTCTGCACTCGATAATTAATTTTAAAAACATAGCAAAAATTAGCTTTCAAACTAAAAAAAGTAGTAAAAAGTAGGTAGCTATCGAAAAATTAAATTTGACTAAAAAAAAAACTCGTTTTAAACGCACTTCACAAAACTGACAAAAATTCCATTCCCTATTTTATTTTCCTGACTTTTTCCTAATTTTCATATAACAAATATTTACTTCTTTC